GTTGTACATTTTCTTGCTTTTCTGAGTTTTCTGTGCATTCTATTACTGTGCATTGGTCGCGTGGCGGACCCCACATCATCTTCATTTCAAGAGGGCGATGATGTGGTGTCGTGGTTCCAGTTCTGGTTTTGGAACCGGTTGGCTGGCCCCTAGAGGGCGTTGTACATATGTATATAATAGCATGCTCGTGTAATAAAAAGAGTTCCTGCTTGGCTACTGGTTGCTGCGTACTTATTGTCAGCCGGCCCTTCAACACCGTGCCCTGTGTTCTCCGTGCGTCGCGTCCGCCGCACGATACTAAGATGTCGACTGCCTTACCCTATTGATTAAGTTTGAAACGTCCACTAGTTTTAATTTGTCACTTGCATTTGAGGCTTTCATAGTTTGTTGTCTCTTAATTAGATTTCTCGTCTCTTGGGATTGTTTGCCAGTGTCCCGCCTTGTGACTGTACCTCCGACTTCCATTGCACACTCTTTGATAATACTGGTAAGATTACTGTTCATTGTGTCAACGCTAATGTCAGTTACCTCATTTAGAGCCACGAATCTATTCTGAAGAGAAACTGAATTCCTGTGCTTTCTTCCTGATCGCTAGCTCACAAATTGGCTTCTTGCATATATTTTTATGCCTTTGTTTATTTAAATCTAGGTGAGTTTGAGCACTTACCATTCTATGGTCACTGCAACGTATCTTGCCAACTATTTCTACATTCTGTAAAACGCCTGTGTGTGCACACGGATATCTCCTTTTTAATTTTACCCATTTCAACTCTGCCACGTCCACTTACGGTTAGCCCATTTTCTGTATACTAGTTATTAAAGACCGTAAATTATTAAATTCTACGAACTCTACAAATAACCCCCCTCTGGCATTTCTAGAGCCGATGCCACATTCCCCCACTCCACGATCTCCGGCCTGTTTCTTGCCTACTTTGGCATTAAAGTCACTTACCAGAATAGTATACTCTGCTTTTACTTTATTATTTGCTGACTCTATGTCTTCGTAGAAGCGACTCTATGTCCTTGCTTGTCTGTGTTCTTTCCCTTCGTCCTTGTCCCGTGTACCCTGTTCAATCGAGATGAACCCATACCAACTCGCTCAAGCTTCCATTCTTTATAAAAGCACTCAACCAAATCATCATCATGGCTTAATGTAGGTGCATAAGCCTGTACCACCTTCATCTTGTACATTTTATTAAACTTATTTACGATACTTACCACCCTCTCACTGAGGCTCTAGTAATTTTCCATGTTGCCAGCCTATAGTTCTCCACCCCTAGTTCTCTTCTATCAACTAATCCATGGTAGCATAGAATGCGCTCTTTTTAAAGGCTGTATAGGCCTCACATGTTCTCCTAACCTTGCAGAGCCGTATTATTCCCATTTCATGTCCTGTAAACCTTCGATTAGCACAGCTGAACTAGCCTCACTAGATAGCGTTCTAGCGTTAGACATAGCTAAGTTTAGATTCCAACGGTGGCCTGTCCATATCGAGATTCTTAGCACCGTACCCTGCATCACAGGTCTGACCGCCGCCTTGGAGTTGCTTCGGAACCACTAGAGACTGAGGGTTAATTGGTACGTTCATATGGGAGGTATTGGCCAAGTACTGCCTCAGGGTGGCCAATCCTGCTCTGGTGAGGGAGTGCATTACCGGTAGGTTGTATGTAGTGAGGTCGCACCCTAGACCTTTTCCTTTTTTTAACGATTCCTTCATCACGCGTTTGAAGAAATATAGAATTGGGAATGGTCCGACATCGGCATTTGAACAGAATCTTGTCATTGCATGCTAGGCTGATGAGCTATATCTAAGTATGGGCTCTGTTGCAAGGTTCATTATAAACATGTTCAACTGTATGCATTGTCAGAAACATGAAATAATTGAAACTTTTGCACGCTAACTACTAAAACAAGAAGCCATATAAATATAGCGATTTCAGAGTATTGTTAGACAGAGAAAGTACCAAGATCTAAATAGTGTTACAACAAACTCAGTAACACTAAAATAACATGGCATATATTTGTACCGTATTTTTCGGTGTATAAGTCGCGGTTTTTTTCTGAATTTTTCGTCGGTGCGACTTATACAACGGTGCGACTTATATACAGTCTAAATCGGATCAGATGCCGTGAATTAGGGCCGTTTCACATGACACAAAAGTAGCGATTTTCAGTCCGTGAATTCGCTCGCAGCGAAAAAAAGGCGCCAGTTCGCTCCCACCGCAGCGGTCCGTGGCGAGCTTCCAACATGTTGGAAGTTTTCGCTCTGATCGCAGCGGCGGGAGCGATTTTTGTTCGGGACCCGTCGAAATAGGGCCAGGCCCGTCAAGCCGTCGAAATAGCGTCGACGTGTTTGTTTTAGCAAAGATTGGAAAGTGCTCTTCGTTACCGTTCATAGAAGCTTAATAATATCGTAACGTACAGATTTTTATATTTGAAACATTCCAGTGTCTGCCACAACAAACGGTGGCAAGAAACGTTTCTCGCCGCTCCAGTCGCAGAGCGAATATCGTGGACCGTTCGCGGTCTATGTCAAACGAAACCGCCATTAGCGGCGGCTGCGAATAGAGTGATTGAAGCGAACGGAACGATTTTTTTTTTTTCGCTGCAATTGCGGCATGTGAAATAGCCTTAAGGCGGCCTGGACATTGCGGCCACGCTTTCTCCGTCGGGCAGTTCGCCGTGCGCTCCCTTTTGTCATGCACGGAAACCACATTTCAGAAAAAAATAAAAAGAGTGGTAAATTACCTCCCTAGAAATAATAGTGCTTATATAGTTTTGCACAGAAAATAAATAATCATTGAGGGGCGAAAAAAAGTAGAGGTACTTAACGAAATTATAAATAATGGAAGGCAAGTTCGCATTTCGGACAAGAGCCGCTGGAGCCGCTTCGGTTGCCATCACTTCCGCCCGCTCGCCCGCCGCAGCAGTCGCACTTGCTGCCATTGTGCATGGTCATGTGTTCTGTGGCATGGTAGCATAGGCGTAGCGGCGTTGTTGCAGCGTCCTCGTTAACCATGGCGCCACATGGAAAGCAAAGTCGGCGAAGTTTTGATGCGAAGTTCAAGCTGCGTGCAGTTGAATTTGCAGAACAACACGGAAATCGTGCTGCAGGAAGAGAATTCGATGTCGCCGAAAAAGTAATCCGGGACTGGCGCAAGGCTCACAGCGTCCTCCGGACAATGAAGTCTACTAAGAAGGCCAACCGCGGCAAGAAGGCACGCTGGCCGGACCTTGAGCGTAGCCTGCGAACGTGGGTGCTACAACAGCGAGCCGAAGGGAGAGGCCTGTCTACAGTGCAGCTGCGCCTGAAGGCGAAGGCTTTGGCAGCGGAGACCAACACTGAGGGATTCAGTGGTGGTCCATCGTGGTGTTTCCGCTTTATGCGGCGGAATCAGCTCGTCATGCGAGCCCGGACTACAGTGAGCCAGAAGCTACCCGACGACTTTCAAGCGCAGCTGGAACGCTTCAGCTCATTTGTGAGGGAGGAAATTGCAAAGAAGAACGTCAGCGCGAGCCACATCGTCAACATGGATGAAGTGCCGTTGACCTTCGACATCCCGCTCGGGAGAAGTGTTGCCGAGAAAGGCCAGAAAACTGTGACGGTGAGGACAACTGGCCACGAAAAGTCTCACTTCACCGTTGTGCTCGCCTGCTGCGCAGACGGCACCAAGTTGCCTCCCATGCTCATATTTAAACGGAAAACCTTGCCGAAGGACATTTTCCCTCCCACGGTGGTGGTTCAGGCGAACGCGAAGGGTTGGATGGACGAAGAAACAATGGGCGTGTGGCTTGACCGCTGTTTTTCACGTCGACCCGACGGATTCTTTCACGTGAAGCCAGGAATGCTGGTGATGGACAGTATGCGGGCTCATATCACCGACATCGTAAAAAAAAAGATCAGTTCGAAGAATTGTGTGCCTGTTATCATTCCCGGCGGCATGACCAAGTTGCTTCAGCCGCTCGACATATCCGTCAACCGCAGCTTCAAGGCCGTTCTGCGACGTTTGTGGGAGTCATGGATGTCGGAGGGAGAGCATAGCTTCACTAAAACGGGTCGCATGAGACGCGCTGAGTTTGGCGAAGTGGCGAAATGGGTGAGCGAAGCTTGGCATTCCATTTCTGACAAAACAATTGTGGCGGGCTTTCGCAAGGCCGGGTTGATCCCCGGCGTGGCCGATGTTGAGTCCGATTCGAGCGAGTCGGAGGACGACAGTGACGAGCCAGCAGTGCTACAACCCGAAATAGCCGCCCTGTTTGTGAGCGACTCGGAGGAAGAGGACTTCGATGGTTTTGACTTGTCGGAATAATAAAATACTTCTGACTGGAAATATTGTTTTTATGTTTGTTGGAACGACGCGACACTCGGCCGGATAAGCAGGTGCGACTTATACACCGGTGCGACTTATATATGTTTTTTTTCGGAAAAACTGCCATTTTGAGGGGGGTGCGACTTATACAAGGGTGCGACTTATAGACCGAAAAATACGGTAGTTAGAAATGTATCTGCCACGTTCAGCCAGCACAAGGTACACAAACGTCAGTGCCTAAGAAATAACTGTTAAGGCATTAGTTTACTTTCTACATATGAGCCAACTGTTGCCTTTATTTTTATAAAGTATGCCAAATAAGTCAAATAAAACCATTCTGCAAAAATAAGTAAATGTGATGAATGCACTCGCTTCTATAAAAATAACATGCGCAAACTATCCTACATCTCGTTGCTTGTTCAATTGGTAAACGCTGATTGCTAAGTACAGCATGCAGAACTCTGACTTGTTTACTTATAAAGCAGCGCATGAAGATAACGCACAGAGGAAACGAAAGGGATACTGCTGCTCCCTTTCGTTTCACAGCGGTGACCCTTTCAATTCTTTTGTGCCTTGTCTCCATGCACTGCTTCATAAGTAAATATGAACTATCACCAACTCACCCAACTTTCAACGTTACAGAAGTCTGACAAATCAAGCTTGTAGGGCAAAGCTATAAGAGTGACTTACCTTGGCAATATGTGAGGCCAAGATATAGACAATGTTGCTGCAGTCAGGGTAGTGCAACGATATCTGGGCCAGTGAAGATTTGCCCAACAAGCCTGGCAGCGCTGTCAAAGCAGGCAATGCACGATCAGGGTCGCCGTGGCCAAGTTCACGCAGGAAGTTTTGCTTGGTAATACGTATGGTGTAAGTTGTCTGCACAAGCAAAGAAAGAAAAATGCTGGAATTTATAGTGATATTACTCAATGCTCAGATTCACAACCATTTGCAGGTTAAGAACAACGTGCGGAGCAACCTCTCATGATGTAGAGCCTGACCGGACACACCCAAAGCTAATAATGCAGTAACTTGCACTTCAACTTCATTTCTTGTCTGGATTCAGTGGCCAATTTTGCGCCAAAATTGCAACCACACAAACAAAGAAAACAGAAACAAGAGGGGTGGCCAGCACTTGTGGAAAGCATCAACAGCAAGCAAAATATACTCAGTCCGAGTAATTTCAATGTTTTCTTTGGTCGAAAGACTGACGCAGCTGAATAATATTTGAAATGCTATGAAGTTGGTCAACACGCTACAATACATCACTACCAGCTTTAATACTGCTGTCATGCTCTGCTAAGCCTGTATCCCCATATTTTAGGCAGATTATAGACAAACTACAGTGCTATATTATGCCATGTTCACTAAAGGAAAACCTTTCACTGATGTGATTGCAGAAAATCACTTTCTCTGTCTCAAACTGATACTTCCTGGTATACATTCACTTTCATAAATTGTCCACGAGTCTCATAACTATTATGAAGCTTATTTTCTTGATCACTAGAGTCTTGCCATGCGCGTTTCTTCCAAGTTTGCTGTGTTTGGTTTACACCATCAAAGACTGTCGGCAGTGCTTGGTGCTGACTGCACTTTAGCATACAATCAGTGTACAATCATCCACATAGCGAAATACCTCAATATTGGAATTACCTAAGGCACCTTCTAATCGGTAGTCAATCTTGTTAGGTATAAATAACTAAGAACAGGAACTACATTATAAACAATAAATATTCCTGATTTGCACATAAATGTTTTCCTTCCGACCTACCAGTGCCGACATTAAATACTGTACATGAAAATAAATGCTAAAGAAGCCCCCTTTGAAAGGCCAGATTTATAGATGAAGGCCATTTCATGCACTTGTTTACTAATACAGTCATTAATACAGTCATTATTACAGTCATGTGCCACATGCGTTCCGGCGTCCATGTAGAACATGTTCCGGACCAAAAGCTACGACAATCGCTTTTAAATGTGAAAGACAGACTAGCCAAAGTGAAGTTCCCTGGTGTGGTGTACGCTGTCCCTTGTGCAGATTGTGACGATGTGTATATCGATGAAAGTGGTGACTTTGAACGGCGCCTCAAACAGCACATTTACGACGTTAAGACAGGGAATGTTAAATCCAGTGCCTTGGCTGAGTATGCGTCAGGTGGTCACACAATCGATTGGGGGAAGACACGTGTTCTCGCTAGATAAAGGGATGTCACGGCGTCTTTATCTTGAATCACTCGTGATACAAACCACTCCGCGCACCTTAAGGGGGGACACTGTACTTGAGACGAAATGCCAGATATTTTCATGTGTTTATAAAAAAAATTCACAGTGTGATTAAGTTGTTGATGCTGATTTCAAAAATGTAATTACTGTTCCTCTAAACTAATTAGCTTTTGAGATATTTTAAAATTAATTACCTATTGTTTGCTCGTATAATGACAAAATAAATTTGTATTGCAGAGCTACTACTGGCACATGCCTGTGTACTAATGAACATAAGCTACACAACAGTAGGAGTGCTTTTTTTTATTTGATAATTTTAGCAAGGTTTATCACACCTTGCATTTCAGTGTTGCAGATACACCCACTTTATGCTACAATTTCTGGCAAAAATTAAATTTTTTGAAAATCTCAATCAGAAATTAACACCTACTATTGTGTAAACTAAACATGCAGCTACATGTCACTACAAAAAAGACAGTCCTAGCTGCTTTGTAGGCAGAGATATCTTTTAGACAAGTTTGCAACAGCAGCAATATTTGAATCCTGAGAAATCATGCAAAACACAAGTCCATTTTAAACAGATTGTAGCATGGAAAAGCTGTTTATTTACAATGATTTGCAAATTCAGCTTTGAGTAGGCACCAGGCATGTAGTCCTTCTGTTTTGCGTCACCTAAATGGCATTTTTTCAATGCCCGCTGCATGTTTTCCGCAGAGGCACACTTGCGAGCTGATGCGGTCGCCGTGTGCTCGTCTGCCGACTTGGCCGCTTATCAGTTCGGTAACGCCTATGTCACCGAGTGTTGATGAGGGCGACAAATGTGTGCGCGTCATCCACGATCCATCGTATGATAAAGCGGATTTCCGGCTTGTCCAGATTGAGTTGTTGATGTCGCAGACCAAACTAGTGCACTCGCTCATCAATTTCAAGGCACCAAGAGCAGCGAGGTGTTAGTTTCCTTTTCACATAAGATTGCCACATTTTCGAGTAAAGGCTGCGGCACAATATGTTCATCGTTGTGGACGCCTCATTACAAGCACTCTACCTGTTGCCAGTAGCCTTCACTGCGTGAGCGGCGAGCACGTTCACCGTAAACGGATTGATTTTTTGTTGTTTGCCGACGTGCGGCGAACTCAACTCTGACGACCCGTCACGCAGTTCACGCCAGACGGGGGGAACCCGCGGCATCGGTGCATTTAGCAAAAAAACGGTGCTTCCGTTCCATGGTTGCAAAAACTGCTATTTCTCGTAACTTCACTTCTGCTTTTTTTACTTGCCGTCCTGTAACTGTTGAAGCTCCGAAACACTGCCGCTTTTAGCAAAGTTGTCGACAACCAACAGCTTGTAACTTTTCAGATAAGTGTAAAAATAGTAGCAGATTCCGAAAATGCCAACTTCAAAAAGTCGGTTTTTTCGTGATTTTCGGCTTTTTAAGACCTGTGTCCCCTCTTAAACAGGAGCGATGGTAATCTGCCATCAGTATATGCGCACTGCCTGCGTGATATATTGAAACATACATAAGGCGAACTGCTTTACACATGTTTTCATTTCACTGTGAACAAGGCTTCCGTGTGGGACCCAAAATGTCTTTTTTTCTGTGTTTTTCTTTTTTCTCTTTTTAAACTTTTATTTTGGTCGATGCAGTGTCTCCAGTTTTTTTACCTTCAATCATACAGTCATTAACATCACAAGTCTTCAGGTGGCAAAAAGTATTAAAGGTCTTATGGTATTTCACTATGTGGACAATTACTTGAATTTTCGTAGTGGTGAGAACTTCAAAACTGTGGTAACTTCTGCGAGTGAAAAATTTGAATTAAATGCAGAAGGGCTGCTTTACTAAAGAATTGCCTCAGAATAGTGTAATAAAATTACTAGACATTTTCTTAACGTTTCAGAATAACCATGTTTGCTGGCAGTATTTTCCAAGATCCTCAAAATCACTGTAAAATTTCTCATCGAAGCAATTGAAGGTTAGAAAAATGGTATAGTATGTCTTGCTTGAAGACAGCCGTCATGAAATCATGTGAGCACAAAATGAGTGACAGCTTTGGCAGACGAGTTACGTATTTGTGATGTAGGTCATCTGCTTGTTTCAGCGGTCACTGTCACTGAGAATTTGTAGCTCAGAGGTAGAGCGCTTGCTTCGCATGTGAGAAGTCCCGGGTTCGAACTGTCACTGAGAATTTGAAGAAGTATGTTATGTCCAGTCCCAGCATAGTTGAAGAAAGCAACAGGAAGACACGTATTGTACAGATGATACCGTACATTCATTGCGTATCTCACAGGCTAAAAAAAGTAGAAAGCAGATACGGCAATAAATTTGTTTTAGGTGCAAGGCATTTTTTTTTTGTGTACTGCAAGCACATTTGGGGTCTATCCACGTACAGTCAAACATGGTTACAGTCGAAACCCGCAATAACGAAACCCCGCGAGTACGAAATCCCCGTGGCAACGAAGTGTTTCGGGATCCCCGGCAAACATTCATAAAAGCCCATGTATTTCGTATCACGCGGCAACGAAACGTTTTTGGACAGGGATCCCACATTAAGGAATTTTCTACCATGGTGCGGGCCTTATTTTACCCTCCGGCCAAAGGTTAACTGTCGAAAATATGCTCGTATGTGTAATATGCGCACTCAATATTTGTAAACGTCTGCTTTTACCGTGATAGCGTGGGTACCACATATTTTGTTTACTTAAACCAGCGATAAAGTCTGTGTCCGGCAACATGCCTGGCCACACTGAAGCAGGCGATCGCAAATGATCATGCTGGAGTGCAGATGGCGCCGTCAGACGAGCTCAACAGGCTGAAGCAACACCAACAGTTGGAATCAATCAAAATGATGAAGAGAAGACTGGAACTGGTGGAAAAATCGAGATGAAATTACAATGGCGCCTGAGAAAAGCTTGACGCTGGAAGCAGATTCCCCGTTGATCGCAAAAAAAGAAAAGAACGGCAACAATATCATCATCATGTTAAGCAGCCATGCAGCGACACCATTAGGGGGCGACACAATCCCATCTTGCATTGCTGCCGTCATTTCATCACTTCCGTAGCCTCACACACATGAGCGCCGCGAGTTGTGTTGTGTGTGGCTGTTTCCATCGACATCCCAGATGAACTCACCGTTGATGCATTCGTTCGCGCCGATGATGACGTAGTCATATACGAGGAAGTGACCGACGAGGCCATTATCGAAAGCGTGCGCGAAGCTGACGACACCGAAGACCAAGAAGAGATGCACGCAGAGAAACCCAACTCGCGGGTTCTTATGGATGCACTGCACACCCTTCGCTCCTTCTTCGGTGCACATGACGATGACGTAGCAATGAACCACTTTTTCCAATGCGAAGGCAGAGCATTGAAGTTGTTGCGTGACAAGGGTCGGCAAAATAAGTTGACTGACCTCTGGCAATAAATTTTGGTTCTGCTGGCTGTATCACTGTTTTTATGTCTCATACTCGCGGCAACGAAATTCTCGCGAAAACTAAATTTTTCAATTTTCCCTATGATTTCGTTATTGCGGGTTTCCACTGTACATCGAACTCACATACCGTATAAACCATACTATAGGTTGAGTGGGTATATAGGTTGACCCCCCAAGTTCAGGTTACTGAAAAAGAAAAAAAGAAAAACAACCCAAAACTGCCAAACC